GAAGCCAAGCAGGAGGACCAACTATTTCAGGCCTCTGTCCAGAGCCAGCTGATCGATGCAGAGGGCAACTGGCCGTTTCTGGAATGGGATCCAAAGGCCAAACAACTGATGACCAGCACCAAGACACCAATCAGTATGACTCTGATGACTCAGCACGTCAAAGAACTGGTGGAGATGTTCAAGAATCCGGACTTGGTGATGGCCTTCCGATCCCTTCAGACAACATCAGAGGCACCGATTTGCCCCTGGAGACTTCAACTCTGTCCCAGAGCCGACAGGGAATGGGAACTCCTCAACAGGATGAGTCGCAACAGCGTGTGGACCCTCCTGGGTACAATGCTCAAACCACATGCATTGACCCAATGTGGACTGGCGGACACCATTCAGAAGTCCCTGGGACATCAACCACGCAAAGGGAAAGGGAAGGGCAAACACAAATTGCCCCACCAGCAGATGGCCCAGAAGTGAGTCCACAGTTGACGATCTTGCTACATGTTCTGAGTCACTTGCGTTTGAGGAACAATTCAAACTGGTGCTATGCCAACAGCACCATTTTCAGTTTGCTTTGGTCGTTGATGTCCATGCAGTGTGACTCAGCTTCACTGGGGATACGTTTTGCAGAGCTGATCCAATTTTTGCCATGTCACAATTTGCAAAGTGTTGCATTGACTGATTTGCGCTGGTTTCAACAGATTCTGCAAAACTGGGATGCCTTTGCGGGTGATCAGTGGGGGCGACAACAGGATGCATCAGAGTTTGCAACTGCTGTCCTGACCTGGCTCCAAGCACCAGCAGTCAACATGACCTGGGAGCGACGAGTGGAAGAAATGAATGCTGTAACGGTGCATGACCATGGTAATGCTTTCATGCCCATCACGGTCTACTTTCCTGACACTCATGCCCATTTGCCAGACACCCAATTTACACTGACTCACCTCTTGCGCCGCTGGATGCAGGAACATGGTATGATTGCGGCGCTGCAGCAGGCTCCTCAATGCATCTGCGTGCACCTTGACAGGTTTCTTGAGACTGAAGGACACATACAGAAAAGCCAATGCCTCATTGACATGGAAGCGGGATGTGATGTACAGGTCTTCACTGACCAATCTCTCCGACGTGAATCTGTAGGGTATGTTTTGACAGCTGCAACGGCGCATTTGGGCGATGCACACAGTGGTCATTTCCGTGCAGCCTTGAAAACCAGACCGGCAGTGCTACAGAATGGCCAGCCCATGCACTGGCTCATCACCAATGATGACTCTGAAGCCAGGCCAATATGGTTGGTGCCAGATTGGTTTCGAAGTAACACCAATCTCTTCTGGCTGCTGCGCTCAGATTGCGTTCAACTTCATACATATCAAGCCCTGCCAACGACTGTTCAGGAGCCGACTGAGACATCACCTGAGATTCCGTCAGAACTGGATGCAGATCCTTTGCCTGAACCTGACAGCCATGCAGTAACCATCCAAATGCCACCACAGGATGAGACCACGGCGGCCATTATGGCCCTGCTCCAAGCCACATCGATGGCTGAACGTCAACGATAGGATGCAGATAAACAATTCTTCCAAGTGCCCTTTTCACCATTTCTTCAATTAATGTAAGGCCGACAGATTCCAACTCAGGAACCATTGATACCAGATCAATGTGGTCTTGCACAGACCTATGCAGCAGCAAAATAGGCGTGTTTGGAAAAAACAAACACACACACACACCAAATTGATCAAAACTGGTCATTTTTACTACTAAACTACTAAACCATGTTGTCTTGCTAATGATAATCAAAAAGGTCATACCCGGATTTGCGTTCTTTTTTGTGGTCCCGACTTTTGAAGCGCCAACATTTGAATGGGGTGAACTTCACTGGCGCAAGTACCTGGCGCAAGCTCTTTCGGGTCTCATTTACTTGCATGTGCTGGGGTGCTTGGGGGGGCTGGCGGGTCTCGCGGGCCCCACGTCTTAGGACCTCTGGTGCGCCCCCTCCACCTGCTGGCTCTGCCTAGTGGCTCGGCCCTTCGCCGGGGGTGCTCCTTGCCTTCCCCCCGTGCTGTTGCAACTTCCCTCGTGGCCACTGCACAACAATCAGAAAGCCCGACACCTTGGACCATCCCTCAGCTCGGGCGCCGCCACCAGCAGCGTCGTCATCTCATTGCCGTCCTCAACTTAAGTGCGGCACCCCACCCGCCCGCCTGCTTAAATTTAAGCTCTCTCGCCATCGTGGCTCTTTGCTGCCGTCGGCGCCCTGCCAGCGGCTTGCGCGCTCACCGGCTTTCTCTGTGGCAGTCCAGGCCTTCCCCCCGGAAAGGCTCCTCTGAACGGCCTTCTGTTGAACAACGGCGGGAGCTTGCCATTGGCCTAGCCAGAGGGCTTCGACCGCGAAGCCTGCACTGCGTTGCTGTCACAAGGCCTTTGCCCAGCCAATGACTCCACCATGCCTGTTGACTCGCTGCCTACGGGTCTTTCCTGCTGAAACGGCACCGGGGCCTTCAGGCTTGCGGGTGCCTGCCCGGCGTCGCGCAACTTTGTGCTGTTGTTAACTTGTTGGCGCAAGAACGACTATGTGGCGCCAGTCTTGGCCGGGGCCAGCCTTGTGGCTTTACCCAAGCCCAGTGGCAGGGTCTGACCGCTGTTGGGGAGATTCTCCGCACACTCACAAGCAAGTGCCTCATGGCGACGGTTCGGGCAGACGCCCGCTCGTTTTTATTCGCAAATGCTTTCAACACCGTCCACCGAAGCGCCATCCTGCCAACAGTGAGGGCCGAATTCCCCTCTTTGGCACGTTGGACAACCTGGTGCTACCGACAGCCCTCCCGGCTCCAAGCAAACCATGCCCTGGAGTCTCAAAGCGGGGTCCAGCAGGGTGATCCCCTCGGGGCCGTTGCTTTTTCCCGCTGCCTTGCAGCCGTTAGCCTCCGACTTGCGCCAGTGCGGGTTGGATATTGCGGTGCGCTGCCTGGATGATGGTGTGCTGGCTGGAGATGTCCGTCAGCCACGCTCTTTGGCTTGTCCAACACCGTGCCGCTGCCATCGGCCCCCAACTCAACCTGACTGAGTAAATGCGACCTTGTTGCAGTTGGTGCTGTCGACTTGGCTGGGCTTCACATGCAATTCCCGGATGCGCTCCTTCGTGCTGCCGATGGTTCCAGCAAAGTGTGCCGCAACTTTGAACTCCTGGGTGCGGCGGTTGGTGATGAGGACTATGTTCACCAGCAGACCTCCTCTACGTTCTTGTGCTGGGTTTGCGAAACTGGTCCACAGCATGTGGTGCAACCCCCCTAAGGCCCAGTATAGGGCGCTCTGCATGTTTGACGGGATGGTGCGACGCAGCTTTGGGGACCTGACAGGGCTTCACCCCAACACAGCGCAATGGCAACAAGCATCACTTGGGCGGGGACATGCCGGTTTGGGGCTTCGGTCAACTGCCCAGCACGCCTCCGCCGCTTACCTTGCTTCCCTTGGCGCTACCTTGCCGCCCGCCTTGGACTTGGATTCTGGCTTCTGCGCGGAAGCGTTGAAATCTTGTCACAATGTTGCCTCTGCTCTGTCTACATTCAACGCCACCTCGCTCCGGAGGAGCATCTGGCCTTGGACGCTGCCCTGAGCAACAACATGCTTTATCACTTTATCCATGAAATTTGATGAGGCCTGCTGGCAAGAACAGTTACGGCAGGCCAGCATCCTTGGCAAAGCCACCCTCCAATCGGAAGCTTGTTGGGGCCAGGGCATTCCTTGGCTGGTGTCCACGGTGCAAGGGCATTTTTGACATCCCCACGCACCACGCAGGCATGTGCGTCGCTGGAGGGCAAAGAACCCAGCGCCACCACGCCTTGCGGGACCTTGTGTGTGCTTGGGCCGAACGTGGTGGCCTTGGGCCAGAACGAGAAAGGCCAGGCCTGTTGTTGCCTCAATCCCCCGCACGGCATCAGCAATAGCGACCGGCGCCCTGCCGACGTCTATACCTTCCGGCTCTTGCCGGGTCTCCCGCTGCATGCGACTTTGCTGTGACAGCCCTGCGCCGGCAGGAGACTTGGTGCAAGCAAGTCAGAAGGGGGGTGCGGCGGCGGCCACTGCCTACGCCCAACGCAAGGACTCCTACCTTCAGATGGGGCAGGGTTGGGGCACAAGGAGTACAGTTCGTACCCGTGGTCATCGAAAGCACCGGGGGCCTGGGACCCAACTGCTATGAACATTTTGAAACGCATTGCTCATGCGGTTGCCGCTCGGACTGGGGCGGATCCAGCTGCTCTCAGCCTTCTGCACCAAGAAGCGTGCGTCTGCGTTCGCTCTTGGCGCGCCCGCGCAAAAGATGATGGACCAGAGTTGGGGGCCAGATGCTGCTTCACCAATGACGGGTGAGTTGCACCTCCAATGTCCAAAAGCTCTGGTGTTTTTTCCGCAGGATGAGTTGTGGGACATCATCTATTCGGACAGCATCCATCCGCATGGTCTTCCTGAAGCTCACTTCATTGCAGCCTCCCAGATCCACGACATCGAGGTGCAGCAAGGTTCAATCATCCCAAATTGTTGGTTCAGTAGCCACCAAAGATCCTCCAAGTCAGTTGCTGTGAACTCACTGCCTAAGCTGCTGGGCCCATTGGACAGAGCGAGCTGACAGCGGGCCAATGGCACATGGCATGCCTGGTCCTGCGCTGGAGGCACGGCAGGGGCCATAGCTACCTCACCAACAATGCACCCAACAAATGGAGCCGCTCCGTCGCGCATGCTCAGCTGGCCTCCGTCATTGTGTTGCTCAGACACGGGGTTGCAACTGCCTCTGGTGGAATCGTGGCCTCTGCTGTTCCCTTGTTGTCGCTGTGGTCAGCCGCAGTGACGCGCGGATTGACGCGCACCGTCTTTGTCTCACACGTGTGGTAACTTCCACAATTTCGCATTGTCTCACATTGCAGAGAGACTTCACTGATTTGATATAAACTACAAGACAGAACACATCCCGTTCTGCCGGGGAAAAATTGGATCTTCTGGGAATCCCGGGGTGCAAGGATTGGAATGTGCGCCTTGCCGCCCTGAGCACACTTGCGAGGCCTTGCTCTGTCCTTTTGGCGAGATCCTTCCTTTTTGTGGTTTGTGAATTGTGGTACGTCATGGAAATGTTCATAAGTTTTGGTACATGTGCAACCTTTTCCACATGTTGATTGAATATCTTTGGAACACCTGGTGGCTAAGTAGCTTGCAGAATGAGTAGCGTCGGAGCTTTCGATTGCTTAAAATCATTCCTTCCTTAAAGGAACCCCTTGCAACACAGTCTGTCCACCCTGGGTAGCTCCTTGAGTTTGCTGGGCAGGTTGGATCCGCTAAAACTCTGCTTTTATTCTGAGGCTCAACATGTGGCATATTTTGGCTGTGTCTTGGGCCGGAAACAAGAGTTTCTCTGCATTTGCTGTGTCTGAAGGATTCACAGGGCCAGTATGTAGAAGGGCACTCAGCTGCCGCAAATTGTCCTGGTCTTTTCTGATTTGTTGCGTTTCTTCACATACGGTCTGCAGATCCTGGCAGATACCCCTGCATATTATCCACAATACCAGGACATTGTTCATGTCAGTTTGAAAAAGGACTGTGAGATTGGTTTGAGGGCACGTTCTTATGGCAGGCCATCAAAGAGCGATGCACAGACGAGGCCTTTGACTCAACTTCCGGCGAACGAATGGTTCCGAACATTTCCCCAAACAAGTTGAGGACAGGAATGTTCCCTAGTGCATCTCCAGAAGCAAGACACACTTGTCTTAGGGTTCAAGTTACTATAGACTGTAGATGTTCCAGGCAAATTTGTTGGTGACTCGGCCTTCAATTTTGAGGTGCATCAAGTGGCAGAGCTGGCACAAAAGATTTGGATTAGGCACGGACCTCACGGAACATTGGACTGGAAGGACTCTAGACTGGACACGGTTAATTTGCGTCACAGGCTAGCTTTCGCAGGACTTACGCTTTTTTTGCTTTCTTGACTTTCGTTTTTGACATGCTCACGCAGTCTCTTCAACCTGTATTGCTAAGAGGACCTTTTGAGATAAACTCAAGCTCTTCATAACCAGCTGTCTCATCCACCAACTATTCACATGTGAGATATGTTTTCGTTGGTTCACTGGCAAAAACCACCAGTTTCACAATAGATTCACCAACAGATTGCTTCAGTACTGGCAGGCAGGGGTCCAAACCATCCCCCAATGAGCTGCCATCCCAAGCTGGTGACTCTTCTTTCCACGTCTGGAATGTGAACAGAGGGTTTTAATCCCAATGGATTCGCAGTCTTGAAGTCTTGGTTAGGAAGACCCAGTGTTTTAATTATTATCCGCATTTTCATGGTTGACATCCCCATTTTCGAGGCTTAAACTCGTCATTGATGGCAAACATCCGCATTTTTCATGGTGATTATATGTGATTATATATTTGCAATGCTCCAATTTGCGTGTCACCCTCCCCTGCAGGCTGAATGAGCTGCCACACCGGGCCATCACCTGCAGAAGGGAAGAGAGCTGCCAGAGCCTTGAATGATGGTGAAACGGTCCCATTGACGTATATACTGTAGTTAGGTTATGTTAGGTTTCTGGATTATAAATCTGAAAAAAATCTAAAAATAAATTGAAGATACAATATGCAAATGAAGATATGTACATGAATATAGACATTTTTCAGTTTATTGTGGGATTTTGAAGATCACGCTCAGATGATAGCTGGAAATGACCTGTTCAATGGTTGGGCGACGTACGGGTGGAACATTTCACCGGTGAATGAGTTGGATTTGCAGCCGTCAGAAGTTTGTTTTGTACAGGTGACTTGAATTCCTTCCAAAGCACACAGTTCTTTCGGGAGTTTTGACAATATCAATGTCCTGCTGAGGTTCTGAAGAGGTTCGAATTACTTGTACCAGCATGGCAGGTGCGCAGAATTGGATGATGCGACCATTCGCAGGAACCCCCTATACTTTGGGGTTTTATCAGCCATTATGTCCTGATGTTTCCCGTATATTGATTTCCCTTAAACCCATCCATGGATTTGATATGATTTGATATCTTGATTAGAGTTGATGAACAATATCAATAAAATCAATAAGATCTCATGTTTATCGAAGTTTCATGGTTATCCAGTTATCCCCCAAGTGATCCCCCAAGAAATCCACCACTGTCACCCATTGATACTCCGTGAGGCAATGAGTTGACCGTGGTGTCGATCCTCCAAGCTGCGACCTGCGAAGAGCTTCGTGAGTTGGTGGCAAAAACGTAGGGGACTGAGATCTCCAGTGCTGAGATCTCCATAGGGGGTTTCTTAAGCCTCAGGGATTCCCAGGTCACCATGGTTATGAAACATGTTGTTTCAATATATACTCATATTGTTTTCAATACTAATTCATAGTCTATATAATGACTTGGATGATTTGGGGTACCCCCCATGGATTGGACACCTCCCTATAAAATGGTATAACAGGTTAATCACGGCATTTTATGATAAATATTGATCTCCATAGCTATTGATAATTACGGACCCTGGCAATTCTAAAATGCAACATTCTAAAATGCAACGCTTTTTACGCCTTTTCTTCTCCTTTTTTCCTTTCCAATGAAAGTGTCAAGCTTTTTTTACGCATTTTTTACGTACTTTTTACGCTTTTTACGCCAGCCAGCCAGCCATATTTTGCCAAGTTTTGTGCCAATCTTGGAAGCCGGATATCCATTTCGAAGCTCCTGAGACAAAAAAAAGGAGAAAACGCCAGGAAAGACAGATTTTTTTCATCGTGCCCACGCTCCGTGTTTCGTTGTGGATATCATGTTTTCTTTTCAAAGATATTATTTGTCATGTTGTGGATTTTGACTCATCTTTCGTGGTTAGAGTTTCAGACTCAATATCGTGGATATGACCCCTCCTCTATACTGAGTGCTTTCTCAGAGTGTTCGTTTTCTTGTCAATATTTGATGCTCAGGTTGAGTGTGCCACTTCTGCAGCTAAAGCTTCTGAGCTCCGGATCCCAACCGCAGGAACTTGTTGGCAGCATTCCTGCTGTGGATGTCTTGTGAGATGGCTCCAGATACCCAATCTGTGGTATTTTCCATATTGCAGGTGCATCCAACTCTCCATTTTTATGCGATACAAGGCTCCAACATGGTTCTCAACGCCCAACCTTTGGAAGCGCCTTGCTTTAGGTCGGCAGTTGGGGTATAATTCAAACCTGGCAGCGGTGCCACGTGATGTGCGAGCGATTTGTCCGAGTGAATGCCAGGGCCTACATCACAATAGGACATGGCTGGCTGCTGCAGTTTCATGTTCCAAGCAGTTTGGAAAACACAAGCGTAGATGGTTCCCACTCATGGATTGTTTATGTTTTGCGAAAAAGATTGAAAGCAAAGAAATCTTCATGGTGATGTTTCGCAAAAGAGGTTGCAATTTCCGTAGAGCAACTGTTTGAGATTTGGGATAAATGCTGAAGGAGCGAGGAAAAGGACACTTCACCTGCACTAACAGTGTTCCGTTGTATTCTACTGGTGTTGGCCAGCCAGCTGAGTTCGGTGCCACAAAGGTATCCTGTACGTGGTCCGACCCAGCAGCCAAGTGGCGGCCAGAATGGCATTGTACATATTTTAGTGAAGCTTCTCCAGACCGTTGATTGCTTGAGAACAGCGTTGAGTCAGGGCTGTGGATTGGGACAGTTTCATGCAGATGGGCTGTCATCTCAGGCCAGGATATGTTGCGAGAGGACCACAGAGTTTTCCGGGGTTTTGACGCTGGAAAATACAATGAATGGACACTGATGTCTTAGTTTGGGATATTTATAGTTAGAAAAACTATAGAAAATACTTACTTGCATCAACTATAATTTATGGGATGCTGAACTTCCCAACTTTGAGAACCTGGGTGAACCACTCCCCTGCTTCCAGGAGATGCATCTGAACGACGAGTTGGAATTGGAGGTGATTCGAAACAGGATGACCTGCAGCGATCATTGAGACATTTGGGGCATGAAACATACCACAAATAGCCCTGTTGAGTGGTAAATCTGGAGACAAAGTATGACAAAGTATCTTTCTTGGGGATTTTTATGATCCATTAGTAGAGAAAATTCTGTTTACCAGTTGGGACACTGCCAGGTGAGACTTATCAGCGGGAAGCTGCTTGCAAAGGCTCTTTTCGATGGTTGAGTTGGTTGAGTTGGGTCTTGGAGACTGACTGCTGACTCCTGTTGACGAGATGTCAGAATATCACTGAAGAGTAGCCTCCTTTACTTCCTTTACTTCATCTGAGTTTCTTCGATTCCGACTTGCCAGGTCCACTGCTTTAGGTCTGAAGGTTTCGTCAAGCTGCGCGAAAGAGTAAAGGAGGCGTGGCTCAAATGATTTTTGTTCCCCTGAAATATGCCTAGTTTGTGTTTTCGAAATTTATGCTCTATTGGAATCCATTCCGAACAAATCAGCAAGGCCTGTAAGTGCTTCAAGTGCTAGATTGTTTTCTTGTTCCTACTCCAAACTGTCCGGATGGTCCAGGCCTGCCAAATCAAGGGCCCATTCTGGCTTTTGCAGAATCAGCGTTTGCTGAGGACCCTTGGGACCCTTGGGTCCCTTGGGGTTTTCACCAATGGCGGATTTCATCGGATTTCCATACCTTGACGAGACGCCATTTTGCCTAGGAGTCCCAGTCTGGGGCAGCCAGATCCTGTACAAACCTTGGAGGCTGGCCTTCAGGAAACATGTAGAACACTGGAAAGCCGGTAGGAAATGCGTGTGGAAAAGACCATCATGCAAAATGTGCAGGCATATTAGGTGTTTGTTCATAAATGGGAGATATTTCAATTGGCAATTTTTATGGGGAAAACCGGTGAACGATAATGGTTTCATGATTTATCATGAGCCCAACTAATGGTCATGAAAGGCCCGTTTCGGCAGGCGAATGCCTCGTTGGTCTTGGTGAAGCGATCCGTCTCAGACCTAAGCCGCGCGCACAGGAAGCGTCAAGCCAGGGCAGGGTGTTTCTGAAACTTGGGATACCCCAAAACGATGGGTTTCACCATGGATGAGCAAAAAACAAAAAAAAGGCATGATTACAATGATTAATTGTATATATATATAATATAAAACACACATATATATATATTATACACTATGATTCTGGGGTCCACAGTTTAGGAACCTCTTTTGATTCATATAGATTTTCCAAAAAGGGTGTGGAGGTCCTGCAGCATTGAGGTCAAGAACTCGTTGGATTTGAGGGTGCAGCCTTCCGAGGGGATGCACAGGAGGCTCTCCCCTGAACTTGTCGAACTTGTCATGCAACTGCCCAGGAACTGCCGACAATTTCCAGGATTTTCAATGGTTTTCCATGATTTTCCACAATTTTCCACGATTTTTGATGATTTTCCTCGTGTTCTGATTTCGGAGCCAAGGTGTTCCGCCTTTTGGATGACGGTGCAGAGATTGCTAGTTCCTCAGAGTGGCAGTGCTTCGAACCTTCTCAAGACTTCAGCTGAGGATTATCGGGATACCACCCGTTTGCGAACGCCACTGATGTGGGCCACAGACTTAGTAGGACTTGACAGTGACCCTGAGAGCGCTTTTTCTCTTTCACCATCCTGTCATGGAGAAGGAAGTACTCGCTACCATCTTGAAGTCTAGTAGAAGATACAACATTGTTTATTACCATCACATTTGATAATGATTAGAATTCACAGTCTTGTCATTTTGATACATTTCGTGCTTCTATAATAGTATATACATGTCTTTTTTCATCAAACATGTCAAACAATCTCAGGCTGCCACTGGTGGCCACAGCTCGTTATGTCTCCGGCTCTTGAAGCGAGGCATGTTGCATGGTGGGTCCCGGTGTTTGGATTCCTTCGAGGGGTTAGAAACACATACTGTACGAAAACCATCAAAACCATCAAACACCCCAAAAAAAACCAAAAACACGTCACTTTTGCTGGAAAGTGTGCTGGAAAATATGGGAACATGATGATGAACCATGGGACTTTGGGACAGAGAAAGAAGAGTACTGTGTCAAAATTATCACCACCCAAACATGGATGGTTTCATGCTTAAACAATAATCAACACGTGGGCCAGTTTGTACCCAATTTGTACCCAATTTGTACCCAATTTTAGCCTATAAATGGCATTTTTTGGGGAATGTCCCATTTTCAGACACGCCCATATGAATCGGCGCATGACCACAACTACAGGGTATAAAAGGCCTTCACCCACACCCCGATTGCATAATGGACCTGGCCGTTGCCCATCGTTGCAGGTGCAAATCCAATGTTGCGCGCATCAGGTGCAACAGAGTCGGCCTTCAGGGCACTTTCTTTTGTGAAGTCGTTGAAGGTTGCATGATAGCACCATTTACTCTCTCTTTTGGCTCAAAGGAGTTGTGAAACAACTCTTGTGATGCAGTCAGGGGTCAAAAACAATTGGATATGTCTTTGGAAATCTTTGAAGGATGTGTGTGGGTCAGGATGTGAGAAACAGGCTTGTTACAACTTGTGTGACTTGTGCAGCCTTGCGCCATGGCGTTGCATGTACCATCCCTGCAATGAACACTCTGCCGGAAGAGAGTCTCTGCTGTGTTAATTTTGGGACATGCTAAAAAAAACTCATGCGGGCAACCGCTGTTCTGAAACAATTTTGGTTTGATTTCCCTGATCATAGTCTTGGTCAGGGCCAGGAGATGACAATTTTCGGATGCTCATTCTTTTCAGTTGCCAGGAAGACCAGAACGCGCAGTTCTGGGTCGCGGCAGGAGCCTGTCCGCAGTTCATCACAGTTTGCTCGTTGGCAATTTGAAATCATTGAACGTAGATACAGAATTACGCAATATGCCTGGGAACAGCAATGCCCATTGGTCGCGCAGGCATCCATCTATCCAAGATGATTGCTGTTGTTACTGTCGATCTTCTGTTAGGAAGTCATCAAAGATGAGCTGGCTCGCATAGCATCGGGGCGGCCGAGTACAGGCTGCTTCAACATGGCACGAACAAATCTATTGTGTATTTTCCACGCTCATCAATCATAGATCAATGGTAAGTCGGTGACAGCCCTGAGAGGTCGCACATCAAGAAGCCTGCGTAGCACAGTGCGAACTGTGATAGCTCAAGAGCTGCAAAGTGTCAAAACCTCGGCTTTTGCGATGTCAATCTGGCACCAGCGAACGAGTAACATGGGTAGATCAGTAGATTCAGTAGATCCCTGGAAGTCTTGGGAAAGATCCAGAGTTTTTGATGTTTTTTGTCCGCAGCTTATGATTTCACTTCAGAAATCCACGGCTGGAGGCCCTCTCGAAACCATCCTTGGAAGCAAAGGAGTCGCCCAGTGAGCCCAGTGACTTCATCAAGGAATGCTTAGCGCTACAGGCAGTGCGAGATGCCCAAGGTAGGGCTGTGTCTAAAAATGGACCATCCACATGGCCAATTTGATAGGATGATAATGGACGATGTTTATTAAACCTGTAGTGGGATATAGGTGAACCATGGGGAATCTCATTTTCCGACAAATCGAAGGTCTTGTAGCTGGAACTCTATGGACTTGGTTTGGAGCATTTCTTGTGTCTAGTACTAATGCATAGTTTCAAAGGTGCGCGAAACTGAGTTGTTGAATGGCAAATGTCCTAAGTCTTTTCTATTCTTTTCTCCTAGTCTGATCCGAGTTGGTTTGGATTTCGATTCTACAAATCCAAAGTATTGTGAGATCCTGAGATAGGTGAATCCTGAGATACTTCGATCCTTGCCTGCGTCACTTGGTTCACCCATGAAAAAAAATGGCACTGGAACATCCACCAAATTTTTTCCCCCTTTCTTCTCTAAACAAAAAGAATCAAACATAGTAACATAGATTAACATAGTATATATAGTATATAGCTTCCATGGAATTTACAGGACTTCGGAGGGTAAGGGTGTTTTCTGTTCCCAGAGTGGTGCTTTTCCTTCCTGTGGGTAGTTTTTTTTTTCAAAATTCGGTTGGTGTTCCAGTTCCTGGGTTGGTGTTCCCTGCACCCGCGTTGATTTTTTGCTCCCACCTCCTCTTTTCTCTTCCAGAGTGTTCGCTACCATGGTGCTGTCATTCGTGCACTGGGATGACAGAAAGATGAGATGAAATCAAGCGGGATGAGGCAAGATGAGGTGAGATCAACTGAGATGAAACGAATTGGAATGTGATGACGCGAGAAGAGCTGAGATGAACGTAGATGAAGTGAGATGATATGAAATGAGATGAACTTGGATTAGGTGACATGGAGCCAATGGTTTCATTCGACGCTGTTTCTTGTGATGGTTCGATGTCGCCTCTTCCTATTGTTGAGACGCGTAAGGCCCAATAACGCAGGAGACTCAAGTTAAGCTCCATGAGACAGAAATCTCCTGTGGACCAAGAATGGAAAACTTGCTCAGTATGAATGCCGAGTGATGTGGGCAAAACATTGGCTAGTATAAGCGCTTGCAAGCATCCTCCACGGTACTTGCAGACGCAAGTCAAAGCTACTTTGTAAATCATATTAAATCATAAAAGCACCAGTTAACATGTCTATATCAAAACTACAACAACATTCTAACTGTGGCTGTTTTGGCTACAGAAGAGCTTTGGCTGTTTCAGCTACAGAAAAGTAAAATAAAGGCCTTAGTCTAGAACCTAGAACTGTATCCTACAACGAAAGTTTATCTCTTACACGTTATTTTTTAAAGCACAACTACGTATTTTTAAACAACCAATTCTACTATATGTATGTAAAAGGCACATTCCAGGAACAAAAAAGTTACGTAGCCCTATCTGTATTTGGCAAGGTGTTCCTCCGCTTAAGCGAAGCTCCTGCCGTTCGTCTCCTTCCTTGCACGAGCCGCCCTTCGTTGTGAAGCTGGTTTGCAAACGCTACCGGGTGCGAAGTTGATAACAGGATCTGGCATTTTTTTGCCATATTCCGCCAGATCTTGGAGTTTACGCATTTTTACCACCCTGAGATTGCAGGACATGCGGACCTTTCCAGGTTCTTTCTATCGATATCAAGCCTCGCTCAGGAAACATGGTGAGTTCACTCGAAAAATCATGTGCCCGCGCGGTGTCGCAGCCTCAACTCGGACAGAATAGGAAGAAACTGAGCCAAAACCAATGGCTTTGTTTGAATAGGGGGACCCCCAAAATCCAAAATGTCATCATCATCATTTTTCAATATTTGATCATTGATCCCATGAAATTGCCGAAGAGCTAGCCTGAAAATCCCTGAAACATCAAAGAACAAGCACCCGGTGAGTCTACCACCGTCACCACCAAGGTTGGTGGCGTCCTGCAAAAATCTCCGCCACCTTGGTCCAATGAGACCCGCACAGCACCGGTGCTTCCGTCCAAGTACCGAGAATTGTCGTGGTGGCTTTGGGCATCGGTGAATCCCGAGTACCAGATCTATCCAGAGGCCAAAAAACCAACAAATCTGTACAGTTGGGGTTCGGATCTGGGAAATTGGATGAAAATTGGAGGAAAATTGGGAGCTTCCTCTAATCACTTCATATCACTTCATTCACTTCCTTTGTTGTCGTTATCTCATCAGATCATGAAATGGAACGATGTGGAAAGCTTCGGTAAATGTCCAGTGCTTGGCTGTTGGCCAGCCATGATTGGAATCGCCAGGTGGTGGAACTGCGAAGCGCATATCCTTGGCACAAGGGCAGCTCGACAGTGCTGCCATGGTCACCGTTTCCCAGTCTTTTTGCTGGGGTTGATTGGCGCAAGCAGTCTTTTCATGATACCAAATCAGGACAAACATCTTCTTCTCATCAATGTTTCTTTAGTGTTTGCTACAACCCTTTGCTTCAGGATCTTGCTAGGTCCGAAATGAGTGGCATGTCATGTGGGGGATCGCAGATCACTTTGCTTCAAAGTAATTTTGATTACAGTGATTCGATCTGCCGTGCAGATCCCTTCAAGAGCATGTCTTTTGTAACAAAGCTCAGAAGAAGATACTTCCTCTTGAAGTATCCATCTACACTGAACCTTGAGGTCCTTTACCATTTTCCCTCAATGGAAACAACCCCCAACTACTGTAATCTGTCATGTGCCTCAGCCCAACCTGGAAACCTGACGGACCCAGATGCTGGACCTGACACGCGAATCTTCATGAATCCCAAGGACACCTGTTTGAAAACACGTCACCGTCATGAGATCTTACAGACACGGTCCGTTTTGAGTTGGTCCTACTTGGAGTTGTGCAACCTGTTGAAATAGCCTCAGTTGGGAGGATGATTTCATCGAGTACCGCAGGGCCAAGTTCCAACCTGGCAACAAGCTCACCATGCGCACAGGTAGTGGCAGCATGTCCTCCAAAGCCTGATTTGGGCGAGCCTGTTGGGGAAGGCTAGTTTTGCCACCTGTCGAAACTATTTGAAACTATTGCAATTTTTTGAGGTGCAACCAACTTATGAGATCTCCAGCATCCCATGTGTTTTTCTCGACATCGACAAGTAACATGACTCCAATTTTCTAAACTCTCTGACCATCTCTGACCACTCATTGGCTGACTCCAATGGAGCCAGTTGATGTTGCCTCGCCACCAAAGGTGGCTGCAGTCAACGCGCAGAAAAGCTCAGCTTGGAGGGTTGATGTGTGAAGCCTTTCACTAGCTGTTGAGGTATCATAAGCACTTGAGGCCTTTGAATCTACTTTTTTGATCTTTTTGGCCTTAGCAAAATCTAAAAAAACAGGTCTGTTCAGTCCACCAGGTGCCAACGCGGCCCAGCTAGCTCAAGGCAATGGCCATGAAGAGCTTGCCGGGTCGCCGAGATGCCCTTGGTATCTTCGATGGTTAACCAGTTAACCATGTTTCACCATTATAAGGCATTACTAACCATTAAGATCCATTAAGACCCATTAAGCATGGTTGTAACATGTTGTAACGGTTAATCATAGCAACCACCATCAACCAACCAGCAAATTTATCAACCAGCAAGGCACAGATGCTGGAACGTGAGGTGGAGAGGCGACCCATGTGCTTTGAAAATGGGTAAATCTGGGAAAATGATGGAACATATGGGAAGGATACCCTCAACTGGCCATTGAAAAATGGTGAACATATGGGAAAATTGATGATAAGCTCCTGGATTTTAGGGTCGATTTTCAGACAAGCCCAAGCAGAGTTTTGCCACCTTCAAAGCTGATATATTGCTTGTGATGATTGTTGCTTCTCAAGCCCTTTTTTTTGTGTGCACCTTTAGCCAGTCATCGGCCAATGGCTGGACATAAGGACGTTTCGGAGCCTAGAAAAGTGAATGCACAATCAATTATTCTCAGAGAGACGGCTGGAGGATATGACGTTCTGCTACAGCTGCGATCAATGTCCATGAAGTGCATGCCTGGTCACCTGGCAGCTCTAGGCGGTTGCCGCGACAGAACTGACAAGGATAGCCGTGAAACTGCACTTCGAGAAGTTAAGGAGGAATGCGGGCTGATCACCAAATGTGTGTCAAAAGGGCCATCCAAATTTGCAGAAGGAGAAAAATGCGATTGGTATGTGATTGTACTGCGAAGCCCAGCTTTTGAAGCCAAAGCAAAGAGCCGCAGTGAGTGTGGTGATATGAAATCCGTCGCATCCCTTTTGCCTTCGTCAATGCAACTGGCGGACTGCTATGGTCATGTCTGGCTACCAACTTCTGACCTGGAAAACATCGACCCAAAGTTGCCACTGATGGGAGGAGCCTTGAGTATGATTTAGTCAGAGTTTGTTCACCATTTTAAACTTAAACAGTGTTGTTCACCAGATGTTTTTTTTCTGTGGCTTCAACAACGGAGATTCTCAGGGCTGCTGAAGCGCATCGGTGAAGCTGTGAATTTCCTCAACCCCGCGGCTAAAGATGCTGTGCCGGTGCCAGTGGCGAAGTCTGACCGAGTGGAAGAAATCACAGCTGCGGTGCAGAAGCTTTCGCTGGAGCTCCCTGATGACCGGTGGTTGGACCTGGAGACCATCTGCAGCTCCGAAGATGTGAAGGCACTGGCTGCGACGGGAGAAGAGATCCTTTCTGCGGTTCAAAGTTCCGAGCTGTTTGAGGTCAGAGAGGATCGCGCCATCCGTGTAATTCAAGATGCCTGAGGTGATTCGGGCAGACGGCCTGAGCCGCAGAAGGTGGCATGAAAATTTGCCACCGCAAGAATGCAGACAATATCAAGACAGAACCAAACACTTTGGTTTGAAGTCTTGAACTGAGTCATTCTTGGCTGGTTTGAACAAGCATGCTGGATTCTATCCAGCTTCCACTTGTCGTTGTTTCACTTGCAATTGTTTCACCTGAGGGAGCGCTGAAGTTGTTACTAGACTTCGAAACGAGGTTGAAGTCTTTGCAAGGATTCTTGTAGCGCAGTGTGCTGGTCCTTGGCCATTTTCTGCGAACAGTTCAATGAAATGCAACTAACTACAAAATGAAACAGGTAGCAGGTACTCATCTGGAGTCTGCTTGGCTTTGTCTGGGCTTGCGACTTGTTGTCCCGATCCTCTACACACCTTGTCCACCTGCTTGTTAGCGCCAGGCATGACTCCATTGATGGTGGCTACTACATGGCGTGGCAACTAAAGAGGCAACCAGACACACACTGGTGACACATATTCAAGATTCATATGAAAGAATATTACAGGCTACAGCCATTGAGATATAGTTATGGACCATAAGTTATGGAATGTTATGGACCCAACCCAAAGATTTTGTTGAAGTTCGACATTTCATATTGAACCAGTATTTATATGATTTATATGGAGGTTTCCTGAAATGGGGGTACAGCATTTCATCATCCATTTTAATACGATTTGCCATTATACACCATCCAATCTTGGGATCGTCGGTCAGGGCAGCGACTGGTGCCCAGACTTTCTACCGTGAGCAGGCTGGGAGGAGTTGATCCAGTAGGGTTTGTCCTAAGAATGGGGGGTATATATTTATTTAAATATATATATATACACACATATATAATTATATATATATACATATATATATAGTTTAATGGGGGACAATTGTGATAAATATGATAGAATGGGCTAGCGCCCTGGTGCCGCCGACCCCCTATTTGGGGGGTCCTGTAGAGAGAGGGAGAGAGAGAGAGGGAGAAAGAAAGAAAGAAAGAAAGAAAGAAAGAAAGAAAGAAAGAAAGAAAGAAAGAAAGAAAGAAAGGAAAGAAAGAAGGAAAGAAAGAAAGAAAGAAAGAAAGAAAGAAAGAAAGAAAGAAATATAGATCGATACATAGAGAGATAGATAGATACAGAGAGAGAGAGAGATAGATAGATACAGAGAGAGAGATAGATAGATAGATAGATAGATAGATAGATAGATAGATAGATCGACAGATAGACAGATAGATAGATAGATAGATCGACAGATAGACAGATAGACAGATAGACAGATAGACAGATAGACAGATAGACAGATAGACAGATAGACAGATAGACAGACAGACAGACAGACAGAGAGACAGAGAGACAGAGAGACAGACAGACAGACAGACAGACAGACAGACAGATAGATAGATAGATAGATAGATCGATGGATAGATAGATAGATAGACAGATAGATAGATAGATAGATAGACAGACAGATAGATAGATAGATAGATAGATAGAATACACCCATGTTACACCCATCGGAGCACCGTAGATCCATCGGAGCACCGTAGATTTTGGCGCTTCTTTAGGGATCGACCCAGACCATGTTAGATATCTGATAATGATATGTGTAGATTCTGTTTTCGAGACTCACAGATCTAAATTCTCCATTCCTTCGCACATTGGAGAGCTGCTCGGACGGAGAACCACCTCAAGGTCTGAGGCAAACCTACGAGGACCACACAGATGAAGAGAGGTCAGAATACATTGTATATAGTAACCCCCAGAAAAATAGAGAAATATATGAATTCCGGTGGCACATTGTTTTTCTATTTGCTTTGAAGGTTTATACTCATACTTTTAAGTTTTTAAGGGTTTGGAGGGTTTTAAGGGTTTAAGGGCTGGCAAACGGCAGGCTTGGACGCCCATAAGAAGCCATTGATGTGTGGCCTTGGGGTGCCTGTTGGCTGCAGGATGAAGCATGCCAAGGGATTGTTTAAGCGGCCCATAAGAAGCCATTGATGTGTGGCCTTGGGGTGGCTGTTGGCTGCAGGATGAAGCATGCCAAGTCAGCGTTTTAAGGGTTTTAAGGTTTTTAAGGGTTTGGAGGGTTTGGAGGGTTTGGAGGGTTTAAGGGCTGGCAAACGGCAGGCTTGGACGCCCATAAGAAGCCATTGATGTGTGGCCTTGGGGTGCCTGTTGGCTGCAGGATGAAGCATGCCAAGGGATTGTTTAAGCGGCCCATAAGAAGCCATTGATGTGTGGGCCTCGGGGGGGGCTGTTTGCTGCAGGGATACGCATGCCATCAGCGTTTAAGGGTTTAAGGGTTTTATGGTTTTAAGCGTTGGAGTTTAAGGGTTTAAGGGCTGGCAAACGGCAGGCTTGGACGCCCATAAGAGCCTTGATAGTGTGGGCCTGGGGTTGCCTTTTGCTTGCAGATGAAGCAGCCAAGTATGGGTTAAGCGCCCCATAAGAGCCATTGATGTGTGGCCTTGGGGTGCTGTTGGCTTCAGGATGACGCGCCAAGGCACGTTTTAAGGTTTTCCGGGTTTTAAAGGGTTTTTAAGCTTTGGAGGTTTTAAAAAAAGGGTTACAGGGCTGGCAAACGCCGGCTATGGCCGCCCATAAGAAGCCATTGATGTGTGGCCTTGGGTGGCCTGTTTGCTGCCGGTGAAGCATGCCAAGGGATGTTAAGCGGCTCAAAACAAGCCATTGATGTGTGGCCTTGGGGTGGCTGTTGGCTGCAGGATGAAGCATGCCAAGTAAGCGTTTTAAGGGTTTTAAGGGCTTTAAGCGTTTGGAGGGTTTTAAGGGTTTAGGGGCTGGCAAACGGCAGGCTTGGACGCCCATAAGAAGCCATTGATGTGTGGCCTTGGGGTGGCTGTTGGCTGCAGGATGAAGCATGCCAAGGGATTGTTTAAGCGGGCCATAAGAAGCCATTGATGTGTGGCCTTGGGGTGCCTGTTGCTGCAGATGAAGCATTCCAATAAGCGATTTTAAGGGTTTTAAGGGTTTTAAGGTTTTTAAGGGTTTGGAGGGTTTTAAGGGTTGAAGGGCTGGCAAACGGCAGGCTTGGACGCCCATAAGAAGCCATTGATGTGTGGCCTTGGGGTGCCCTGTTGGCTGCAGGATGAAGCATGCCAAGGGATTGTTTAAGCGGCCCAGAAGAAGCCATTGATGTGTGGCCTCGGGGTGGCTGTTGGCTGCAGGATGAAGCATGCCAAGTCAGCGTTTTAAGGGCTTTAAGGTTTTTAAGCGTTTGGAGGGTTTGGAGGGTTTGGAGGGTTTTAAGGGTTTAAGGGCTGGCAAACGGCAGGCTTGGACGCCCATAAGAAGCCATTGATGTGTGGCCTTGGGGGTGCCGGTTGGCTGCAGGATGAAGCATGCCAAGGGATTGTTTAAGCGGCCCATAAGAAGCCATTGATGTGTGGGCT